GAACAGAAAACAAAACTCCTGTCCTCGTGGGGGATTGTGTTTCTTGTTGGCTGAAACAGGGAACAGATAAATAATAAATAAAATAACCAGTTTATACAGCTACTTAGAAACTAAAAGTGCAGAGAAGAACAGTTAAAAAGTAAAAGGGGGGCACAAAAGGAGCACAAATCCGTGGCTGCATCTGAGGCTCAGTGGCAAGGCCAGGCCCTGCAGAGGCGAAGTCTGAGCACACCCAGCAGGCCACTGCTTCCCAGGAACAGGTCTTCACATTATCCTTACTTTATAAAACTTTTCTACACAAAAGTGATGAGGATGGTCACTTCACAGTGTGTGAGGAAAATAATCGCTTCAAAATGGCACAAAGAAAACTGGATAACCGCATGCAAAAGAATGATATTGGACACCACTTCACAGGCAAAAATTAATTCAAAACAGGTCAGTGAGCCAAATGTGAGCTAAACCCATTAGCCTTGTAAAAGAAAACATAGCCCTAAATCTCTGGGAGCTCAGATGTGGCAATGCATTCTTAGATCTGACAATAAAGACAAGAACAACAAAAAGAACAATAGATAATTTGAACTTCATAAAACTTTAAAAATTCTGTTCATCAAAGGATGTGAAAGGATGTTAAAAGACAACCTATGGAGTGAGAGGAAATATTTTGGAATCAGACATCTCTCAGAGGTATAATATCCTGAACTAAAAAGAATTCTTACAACTCAATAACAAGAAGATACATCCTACAGATACAGTTGGGCAAAGGACCTGAACAGGTGCTTCTCCAAAGATGAGGCATGTGTGGCTGATAACATGAAAAGATGTTCAGTGTCACCAATCATTAAGCAAATGATCAAATCTACAATGAGACATCTTGTCCATGCATGAGGATGTTTTTAAACAAAATGACAAAAAAACAAAGTGTTGGCAAGGATACAGAGAAATAGGAAGCCCTAGGTATTGCTGATGGGAATGTACCATAGGGCAACCACTGTATAGGGTTAGAAGATTGGCTTGGGAGTTGCTCAGAAAGTCAGAAACAATTATATTATGACCTGGCAATTCCACTTCTAGTTATACATTCAAGAGAAGTGAAAATACGTGTCCACAAAAAACACAAATATATGCAGAAGCATTATTTGTGATAGCCAAAGGTAGAAAAAACTTGAATGCCAATCAGTGGATGACTGGAAAGAAAAATTATGGTAGATATAAATAACAAAATACAATTTAGCCACAAAAGGAAACAATACATTGATACACCCTTCAAATTTGATGAGCTTCATAAATATTATGCTAAATATAAGAGGCCAGGTACAAAAATCACCTATGGTACTACTGCATTTACAGTAATACCTTGGTTTATGGACACTTCCTTTTGCAAACAATTCACTTCACAAACAAAAGCATTTGGCAGAATTTTGCTGCCACTGGCAAATTCTGCCTTGAGTGACAATCATGACCACAGCCATCTCTGCCAGACAAACACAAACGCAGCCACAGTTCCCCAAAGTATAAAATGCATCAAGTTTGTAAACTGAGGTACTACTGTAGGTGATATATGCAGAACAAGCAAACCCACAGGAATAGAAATCAGATTAGAGGTTACCACAAGCCAGGGGCAGGGACAGTCACATATGGTCATGGGGCTATGTGTGAAAAGCCCAGGAACTCTAAAAAGCTGGTGGATACACTGTGCTCTGAATATACCACTATATGACCCTTTTAAGTGGTTAACTATATGGTATGATTTTCATCTAGATAATGAAATAAAATGCTTAATCAATTGAAAGTTTGGGACCTGTACTTAAATTTTAGTTCTGCATTCACTGCAGTGTTTAATCTATCTGTGACATTTCAATCATGTCTCACAGCTCTCCTGAGGTACACTTTACATGCAATAGAGTTCGTGCACCTCAAGGGCTCATGCTGGGGAGCCCTGTGAACATGCAGCCCAGCTACCAGTCCCACAATCAGACCTCAAGATGCGTGCAGTGCCTCCAAATGTTCTTTCAAGTCTCTTGACAACTGACCCCTACCTTCACATGTTGTCCTTCACTGTAATTCTGCCTTTTTAAAGATTTGATCTTAGTGAAATCATTTATTATTGCTTCAGGCTATAATATAATAAATATAGGACATATTTATTCAGAAACAGGAGTCATCATTTTTGCACAGATCCAAGGGCAGACAGAGCTACAGTGTGTTTCAGCAAGGGACAGTGGAGGGGAACTTCCTGGGAACTGGGCAGAGGCGATATGATCTTGCTTCACTTGTTCTGAAGCCTGCACTGGCTCACTCGTGCCTCTGTAGGTGGAAGACTGCCTGCGTCATTGTGGCTTTCTTGTGGCAGTCGGCACAGTGTCTTTGAGAACAGGGGTGATTGTTTAGTCATGCATTCAGCCATTCAACTTCCAAAGTGAGGGTCCACGGGACATGTGTTATGCACGTTTTTGCAAGTTCTATTACGTACTCTGAAATGTTCACCTTCTTTGACTTAGCACACTGTGTCTAAAGTTTGTCAATTTGAGTAATTTTTTTTTTTTTGGTTTCTTTTTTTTCCATTTGAGTAATTCATCATATTGAGTTTGCACATTTGCAAGCAAAGATAATAATAAAAAGCTTCCATTTTTCAGCTACTATTAAAAAAACTACAGGACCTCTTCAGAGTAGCTCTTTTACTCCCCTTGTAGTTGGGACAGGATACTGGACATCTGTAACTTAAAGGAGGAAAAGTTTATTTGGCTCACCACCCAAGGAGGCTTCAGTCCTCGGTCAGCTGATGCCAAGGCAGAGTAGCATGGCAGGGGGCCTGGCAGAGGAGAGCTGCTCACGTCATGGAAGCAGGAAAGCAGAGTGAAGGGGAGACTAGGAAGAGATAACCCTCCAGGTCACTTCCCCAGTGACCGGACCCCTCGCACCAAACCCTACCTCCTAACAGGCCTGTAGTCCAACTGCAGTCCAACCAAAGATCCTGCCTCGGTCAGCATGAGGCTTGCAGGGGGACAGCTGCATAGAAACCTTAACAGCCCATCCCTGGTGCCCAAAAAGCTCACACATTTCTTTTTTGTCCTTAGTCCATCTCTAAGACTTGCCAAAGTCCTAATTTTTCTAACACTGCTAAAAAGTCCAAGTTCAAAGGTTTCTGAGATTTAAGGTGAACTCTTAGTTGTAAGTCCATATTAAAAAGAAAGTTAAACACCTCCAACATCTAATAGCACATGATAAACATTGCCATTGCAAAAGGGAGGAAGAGAGACACAGAAAGGAATGGAACCACAGTAAGACTCAAACTCAGCAGGGCACAAATTAAATTCCTTGATTCTGTGTCCAGCACCCAGGGCACACTGTGGTGAGAAGGAACCACATTCAGTGAGGGCGGCCCCACCCCAATGGCACTGCTGGTGTCGGCAGCTCCCATGGCTCCTCTCAGGCTGGCTTTGTTCCTTCTTTGCAGTTTTCCTCAGATGATCCATGTTCATGCTTCTCCAACCTTCTGGGGCCTCTACTGACTCTTCAACTTCACATTCACAGCTTCACACACTAACTTCTTCAGGGCACCCTGCCTGGCCTCCCAGGCTTTCTTCTGAAATCTGGGTGGAAGCCTTGCTGAGCCCACAACACTTACACTGCATGAGCATAAAATCATCACTACACAGATGCTGCCAAGGGCTGCCTCTAGGTCTAGCAGATGCCAGCCCTCCTTGGATCACAGCAGTAGAGGTCTGCCAGGATGGCTGAGCACTGAGACTGGAATCCCAGGAAGCCAAGGAAGAAATGCCTTGGGGCTCTCTTCTCATAGCAAAGTCTTTCACTTTTGCAATTCTGAGCCTGGAAGGGTCTGTCCTGTGATGTCCTCCAGCCATCTTTTCTACTGTCCTGCTGTAAAGTACCTGGCTTCTTTATAATGCTAATCTAGCAACCAAGCCATCCTCTGCTCCAGTTCTGAGGACACCAACTTTACCAAAGCTTCCTCACTGGCTAGACTCAAAACATTTCAAATCATTCAACTGGGCTTTTTGTATACAGCAGGCTGAAAGGCCCCAACATTAGCCATGCCACAGTGTCAATACTAGAATGCACTGAAATTTCCTCCAACAGATTAATTAGTCCACTGCCCTTAATCTCAGAATCTCCAAAAGTCTCAGGACATGATCACAAGGCAGGCAAATTTCCTGCCAGAGGATAACTCACATGGGCAGGAGTTTAACTGCCAATGGAGTCCTTCTTGACTGAAGCCTCGTGAGCCTAGTTCTTTCCAGCTCCATTATGGTCAGTACTCTGGTCCTCTGAGCTCTGACCAGAAGCGCCCATTAGACTCAGCCCACAGCAGCCCAACCTGTGTATGGGTTGAAGAATTCATTCCAACTTGCAACAAATAGTTGAACCCTCCAATTCTGAACTTTCCATATTCTTCCCAGGGCACCGATGCACATTTTCTGCTCAGCAGTCAGTCGTAAGTGCTAGAGTCTATCATCTTAGCATTGTACCCAGCGTAACAGTATTTCCAAAGTCATCTAGTGCTTTGCTATTTTTGAAATTGTTGGATTTAATAACTTGGCTCAGTTTAATTCTTTTTGGGGGTATGAGAAAGAAATCACCCAACTACTTCAGGCAGTCATTAGTGAAAATAGAGTATTCACCATATTTCAAATCTTTATATTATTGGCCATTATTTCACTTATAAAATAAATTCATTAAACCAAACAAATTAGCTCAAGAAGTAGCCAACCTTAGGAGAAAAAGAACTTGTTTGTAAAACTCAGATTCATTTTCTAGTGGTTACAAAATAGAGATAAACAACTGATGAAATCATATCGTTACGTAGAGCATGGTTTGTTAACTTACCTAAGGTCTTTAGTACTAATTATAAAAACTTCAAATACACAAAGTTTTATGGGCAAGACAAATTTGACTCAGACTCAGAAACCCAAATGAAAAAAAAAATTACTGAATATTGATTATTTATCTTCAAACACAGAATCTGTTCTTAGGAAAATTACCTTGAAGGCTGCTAGGCAGTGCAGGCTCAGTAAGGTCATCACAACTGCCAGAAAGACGGTGGCCAAGTTCCTGGGGTCCCATACGGTCTCCACCAGAGGAATACTGCCAACCTGCCAGTCATAGCACAGGGTGACAGGTGCAAGCAGAAGCCACACATTGAAGGCCAAGAGGTAGGAATAGGTAAGGAATCTACAAGAGAAGAAGAATCACTCAATACAACTCAGGATTCACAACATTTTTCAAATATTCACTCACCATGTTTCTGCATAATAGTTCCATTCTGTCACTAACCAAAGAAGACAAGAGAAGATGTGAAGCCATTCACTTATGTATATACTAAACTCTGGGAATATATGCAACAGCTTCTAGACATTGTGTTGGACCATGGCCTTTGGGAAAGCTCTATCTGTTTCTGTGACATATACTAAAATTTATCATACAAACAAATACATTACAACTTGTTGGGAGCCACTAAAGCTGGAAATGGATGGTATGCGGGAGGGCAGGATGAGGACTCCTTGCCTAAAGTAGTCACACAAATCTCAGTCTTGAGAAAAATATCCTGCCTGGACTTTGTGGGCTGTTAGTCACTAGGCAACCTTGTGTCTTACAACTTTGCAAAGGCATAAATAAATGCCTTTCTCATTGCTTTGGGGCCTCTGCCTATCAGGCTTGGTCCACCACCTGACCTCAGCTACTATCTCTTGTCTTTATTTTCTGAATCCTCTTACCTTTTTCTCCTGAAGACTAATGAAAGACCAACAGATCCCTACAACGACTGGAGATAAACTTTACTTAAGAAAAGTTTTATGAAAGCACCTGACAGAAATGCTCGCCTATCTGGAGTATGATTCCACTGGCAGAATTCTCCTTTGTTAACAGTGCTCATGATCCTGCAGTAGATGCGAGGAAGGTGCACTGTCTCACACACAGCAGCAGGGCTGGCCAAGAGGTAGGAGGTGGGGTGGTGCCTGACTGGAAGGGAGCCCCGTAAAATTAGGAAGGCAGGAAGGGTGACAAAAGAGTGTTAATCCTTTTCCTGGCTGAACTAGGCAACAAGGGGAAGTAGAGTCATCACTTAGGGTGTGGAACAAAGTAACTTTACTTAAATTTGTTCAAAACATCCATTAAACAATGTTCTGGACCCTTGAGAACTACAAAGTCTCAGCTCATGTGCACTACCCAAACCTCTACACTGGGGAATTAGTGACCCTCCCTTGGCTTCCAGCAGCACACAGCCATCCTCCTGAGGTGACCCCGGTGCCCCCATTAGAAGAGCCACCGCCAACCCTGCCAGAAGACTGAATCCTGTGTTCTAGACAACACTAACCATGGACCCTGACTGCCCTTCCCTAGCGCATTTATGAAAAAGGAGTTGGGATTGTGAGTTGTATCTCTTACAACTCAGGAATATCATTCTGAAGGACCCAAGAGCCATTCCTTTAAAATGTAACCGGGGCTGGGGAGATGGCTCAGCGGAATAAGCACTTCCGTGGCAAGCGCAAGGGCCTGAGTTCAATCCCCAGTTCCACAAAAAAAAAAAAAACAAATAAAATGTAACCACTAGGAAGGCTGGGATCTCTCTGTGAGAGCACAGTGGCTTCACTGGTTGGCCCTCCCCTATGGTGCCTCACTGGTTGGTCCCGCCGTATTGCCCTATGGTGCCTCACCCAAGTCTCTTTAGTCTCTGTAAAAGGCCTCAGAGACCTCTGCCCTGTGAGGTTGCCAGTCACAGAGTAAGATCTGTTTTCACTACTGTTAATATTCAATTTTTGTTTATTCCTGACCCAGTGCATGACACTGAAGAGAAGAATTAAGCACCTCTATGTCCTCTAGAGCTGGAGGTGGAAAGGAGACTAAGGTGAACATCAAGCAAACGGACCCTTGGAGAGACGTCCTCCTCACCTGGCAGACTCCTGGATGCCTTCAGTTGGCAAAGTGTTCGTAAAAGAGTTTCCCAATTGCCACTTGGTGTTAAGAAGTCGTCCAGCTTGACTTCCCATCCTCATGTAGCTACTGCTTCCAGCCCTGCCAAGCTGGCCTCATCCCTGTCTAATTCCCTACCACTGGCCACCATCACAGAGACTGCCCTCTGCCTGCATGCTCAGACCCCAGCACACACAGGGTGAGTGGGTGGGAGACTAAACAGTATCCTACATGCTAAAATCCTGATGAGGCCCAAGCTCTGTCATGTTAACAAAGCAAGTCTACTTTGCCCTCTTTAGGAGAGGTGTCTCCAGCTACACCAGCATTGAACCATGGTTGGGCTCCCATGAGGCCTAGAAGCCACAAGACTCCTTAAATTCCTTAGCTGCAGCTGTCCTGGGAAACCGCAGAGCTGCCCATCTTCTCACAGCTAACACTAGAGGGGCCTGGGCACTCCCCAGGGAAACCTGCCTGCTGGAGCCTGCACGCCAGGCTGCCAGCTCTGTGATGCTGTGCCCAGCTCCACGGGGGTCAATCAGCTGTGGCACTCAGCGGCACCTTGATTCTTAAAACTTATTTTTAAAAAATCTCCTTGAAATAATATAGCTAGGCAATGATCACCAATGGCTGCTAAAATTATTAGGGGAAAAGCTGATTATGTATTTACTAATAGGTGGATCTGGCTAAATCAGATGCCCAGAACTACTAATCAATTTTAACACTACAAATAGGGAATATGAGCCTAATGTAATCCTGAGAAATACACAGAGTTATGCAGTAGTCTTATTAAAAAACAAAACAAAAAACATGAGAAGTGGTAACAATTGAAATTCCAGCTGTTCTGAAGGCTCAATCAGGAGGTTCAAGTCTGAGGCCAGGCCAAGCAACTTAGTGAGACCCTGCGTCAAAATAAAAAATGAAGCCCAGGAGATAGCTCAGGGGTATAAGTGCCTGCTTGGCAGGCACAAGGTCCTGCGTTCAATCCCCGGTATCAAAAAAAAAAAAAAAAAGAACAAAACGAGTAAGGATGTGGTTCAATGGGCGAGTGCTTACCTAGCACGTATGTGCACCCGTGCTCAAGTCCCAGTACTGCAACTGCCCATAAATAAGGCCAAAATTCTGAACAGGGAACAACAGAACACATCACGTGACACTGCAGGAAAGCCATGTGCAACTCCAGAGCATAAGAACCACCGGAACAAGTGACCCAGGTTCCTAAACAAGTCTATTACAACAGGATGGGACAGTCACATGCTACACGGACATAAAAGACTTGAAACAAGTACAAGTTGTGTTTAGATTTGAATTTAGTCACACTATTATTAAAACTACTAATTTATGACATAACTGGAAAAATCTGAAAATGCTGACAACACAACTGACTATAGCGAAACATCACTAATGTTTTAAGTGTGATAATAGTATTTTGGTAATAATTTTTAAAAACCTTTTATTTATTAATTTGGTACAGTGTCTCCCTACACATCTTAGACTCACAGTGGTCCTCCTGTCTCAGGCTCTCCAGTGCTGGGATTACAGCTGTGCACTACCACACCCAGTTTCAGGGGCCGACACAGTGCTCCTGGGGTGCTGGCATTGGCATGGCATGCAGTACTGAGGATCGAACCCAGGTCCTTGCACTTGCCAGGCAGGCGCTTAGACTGCTGAACAAACTCCCTAGTCCCTGGTAATAATCTGTAACAGTTCCTGGCTTTTGGAACTATATCATAAAATCTCTCTGTATAAGGTAAGTTTATGTCTTGATTTCATGAGAAGAACATTTCAGATTTGCTTCAAAATGATTGGGAGAGAGACTGTAGGTGAGAAACACGTGGGTGTGGATGGAGCAAACGGGCTATGGCCTATAATTTTTGAAACCAGTGGGTGGGGGAGTTATCTACGTCACTTTGTCTACTATGCATGTTTCACATTTCTCATAATAAAATCTTTCATGGGGCAAAGTCAACAGACTTGCAAAAATTGTATTTTCTTAGCTTATTTCTAGTTGCAGTTTGACCAATCTACTGATAATTTCTTAATTTTCATTTCACATCTTGGCATTGCCCTACAGGTTGTCTCCTGAGTTTCATATCTTTCCTAGACTTGCAATGTTGTACTGAGAAAAAAGAAAAACAAAGATTAATCTTTTGAATGCTATAATTATAATACATTTAGATTATTTTTAAAAAATCATTGTAACATTTTTACGAAAACTCTAACCCAAACAGGTTTGAAAAGTAAAATAAATCAGAGAGCTAAAAGCAACTTCCCTTCCCTACACACCAGGAAGGTCAATACTATTACCTTGCCCAACGTTTCCTTTTAATACATTTGCCTTAGCTGTTCCCTATCTTCTAGTGCAGATGGAGATACGGAGATTCAATCATGCTGTTAATACAATCATTAAGCACTATCTGAAATAGTTACATAGTCCTGGAATCTTCCTGCAAATCTAAGCACAAAGAAGCCATTTGGAGTCACTCCAAAAGCTAATTACACTCCAGGGAAGGCCGGTTGAGCTAGCTGTAATCAACAACTAGAGTATTTCTTTTTAACACCGCAATGACAATGAATTACATTCAAACTAATCATGTTTATTTCTTCTAAAATTTGAGAACTAAAAGAATCAGTGGAATGTCTCTGTCTTGCTGAGTTCCTTTTTAAAGCAAGAACAAAACCAAAATGAATTATTTACTAATTCTTTACTATAAATTTTGCCAACAGAAAAAAAAAAAAAAAAAAAGGACTTGAATATCTTGCCAACAATGGGGAATATACAACACAGAGAGCCAGGAATTTTGTTTAAACTATTTAGTCATGCATCTTCACTGATAAGCAGTTTTGTTAGAGAAACAAATGAAAGAAGCCATGGCTGTGGAAGAGATGGAGTCCGACCAACAACACTCAATGAAACCAGCTCTTGTCAAAATCTTCACTGTTATCAAGAATACATTTTAAACCCCAAAATATACAGATTCTGTTTTTTTGTCTTTGGGAAAACCTCCCTACTAAGAACTCATGCAAGGACTGGGGAGATGGCTCAGTGGAATAAGCACTTCCCTGGCAAGCGCAAAAGCCTGAGTTCAATCCCTGGCTCCACAAAAACCAAACCAAAACAAACAAACAAACAAACAAAAACCACTTCACGGAAGCCTAAATATATCCTCTTGCTAGACTGATGCATGTGCCAAGTACCGATGACAAAACCATACACTACTAACAAACAGCTCTTGTTATCTTCCATAAGAAAGGTGCTTTTTTCC